GTGTAGGTCCCTCAACAAAAATAATTTAACTAACTGAAATACAATTGTTTATACGGAATAATAAAAATTTATTCTAACCGCTGTATCTAATAACATGATATACATTACCATAACCTGACCAACATTTAAATACTTTTTCAAATGCTAGATGAAGTTTAATTTTATTTTTCCAGATGTAGACGAATGTAAACTTAATTTACACAATTGTTCCCAAATATGTGAAAACACAGACGGTGGATTTTCATGCACATGTGATTCATACTTCAAGTTGGATGATGATGGCATATCGTGTTCATGTAAGTAGCTCAAAGATTCATGTAAACAGTGTTTTCCAATACAGGTCTCGCTGGTATATTGCCCAGCCCCTACCAGAAATGTTTTTTTTTTTTATTTACGGTGGTTGTCTTTGTTATTTATACCAAATAAATCCACTTATTATCGTCTTATCTGTTTAACCCCATTTCTCTATGTTTTCATCATTTAATTGTATCATTTATGTTAATCGTGTGTATGTCATATTATAAAACAATAAAAAGTACATATTTCTGAATTACTTATATTGTACTACATTGGTCAACTGGTTCACAATAATGATCAACCATTTTGTAGCGTCATCATGTTCTGAACAAGATCCATCCATTTAACAATTGTAGATATTATTATTGTGAGCACATGTATTCATTCATTTTTATGTAGACAATGGATCATGTACACTTCATTGTGTCAATGGAGCTTGCTTTGCTGATGAGGAAGGGAATCAGACATGCCAGTGCAACAACGGATATGAACTGTCGTATGACCAACTTAATTGCACAGGTGAGGCTTACAGTTGAAAATTGAATTTAAATAACAAACACTTAAATGTTATACTAAACTAAAGTGTAGGCTAGTACAAATGCTGTAGTTAATTTATTTAGTTTTTATTTCGTTCATTTTTAAAGTGTATTTATTACTGCAAACAAATAATAGCCACAAAACAGTTCAATAAATTAAGCACTTAACCATTGAGCAATGAACTAAAAACTAAATAATATTTTCAATTGTAATTGTTGTATAAATGTTTTAATCTATAACCTTTGAACTTGGTGTTTTCTGAAACTTATAGATATTAACGAATGCGCTAACAACACCTTGAATGATTGCGATCAAGATCTTGGAATTTGCCTTAATGTGGGAGGCGGATATTCATGTGAATGCCAATCTGGTTATGTACTCCCCCCTGGATCACTTTTCTGTGAAGGTATATATAGCTTTAATTGTTTAAATGAAACAATAGATGTCTCAGCCTTAAAATTACACTGCAGTAGCATGTGGTATTAAATCTTATTAGTATGACAACATACAGTATCGTTATAAATAAGGATCGCACAATAATTTTGTTTCTGTGAAACAATGTTATATCAAATAGAGGCAGATTTTATGAAGAAGTTGACAGCACCCTCTCTTCAGGATACATTAAAAAAATATTTATTGAGCAGAATAGAAATAAATGTATGATACATCGTTAATTTTAATTGTTTAGCCACACTTTCATTGCAAATATAATTGGCAATATATTTGAATCAAAATTATAAACAAAATCTCAAGATTAACTTCCTTTTGTACAAGGCTTTTCCATCCAATTGGATCCTTCTTGGCCATGGCGTCCGCTATGGTATGCCTTGATGTCCATCTCAAAGGTCAAATTTTGGGTTCAGCAGGTATAGTTAACACATGCAACGTGAATTGTCAATATGTTTGCTGTGCCAGGAAGGCTAAAACAATTAAAAACAGATATCGCAAAAGGCACTATCCAAAATCTTTACCCTTTGTGAGGAACTTAAAAAATGGAAAAAAGCTGTAATTGAGAAGTTTTAGATTTTTTTTTTTTATAAATTATCATTTATTATAATACCATACAAATATATGGGTAACTTTTATTCAATATTATAAATACTATTTTTATTGTATTTATAATATTCAATATTATAAATACAATAAAAATAGGAAAAAATCTGTACTTTCATATACATGTATGTTTTAAATATGAAAGTTGGAATTAAAAATCTAAATAATTATTAACCATTTGTTTTTAGATGTAAATGAATGTAATAATGCCATCTACCCATGCCACGTTAATGCAGATTGCCAAAATATAATCGGCTACTTCAACTGCACATGTGCATCCGGATTCGCTGGCGACGGAAAATCGTGTGCAGGTATCCGCATTATGCATTTTCACTTTTTTATATTATTGTGTTCCTCTATATTAGAATGCAAACTTCATTCAATCAATTAATAAAAATGTTAAAAATTCTACAACACAGATGTCAACGAATGTAATGACGTCACATATCCATGTGATGTAAATGCTGAGTGTACAAATACTAATGGTTCATATGCGTGCAGTTGTAATTCAGGATTTACCGGTACTGGACAAGTCTGTTTTGGTGAGAAACTACACTTTACATCAAATTTTTAGTTCATACGCTATATAAATTTGAACCAAGGGCTTTTTGACTGTAAAGATAAAAGTCCTTGTTTGAACGTTGAAGAAGAGTGAACGTGAAAGAGAAGTTGCTAAACTTACTGGGCCAATGGTGCTTCATTGGAAATCAAATCCAAATAGAAGCAACTGATTTTTCACACTCTTGCGCATGCGTAGAATAATTCTATTTCTCAACGAATTGCAAATAACTAATATCATTATGATACAACCTCATCTTAAAAGGAAGCTAGAAAGATAATTTATTTCTAGAGGGAATTTTTGATATGTCATTAATAATTCAAATCGTATTTTGGCATTTTTTTTATGAGTTACTTTTTCAGCAGCACTAATACAATCTTTGGTTACAGTAGCTTACACTGACGTCACATGGTAATATTTACAAAATATATGGAATTGCTAAAAAAAAAAACCAATATCATAGGCTCTACCATCAACAGCAGGGTAATTATATCGCACATGCCATACGCAGAGACAACATTAATATAGTGTGTCTGGCTGCTCTAGTTACATTTGATTTAAAGTTCTTATTGTAAATAATTATTCATTTTATGTATTCCTTAATTAAATAGATATCAATGAATGTGACTTACTGCCATGTCAGGACAACTCTATGTGTACAAACACGGAAGGAGCTTTTAATTGCAGTTGTGATACAGGATTTGTGCTGCAAGAAAATAATAATACTTGTGAAGGTAATACATTTATTTTATGTAGTATAATATTAAAATAATGAAGACGTACTTTGACGTTCATTGTAATGTTATCAGATATGGATAATTGATTTTGAAAACAGGGTCACAATGAGGTAGGACTGACGTCCCTCTTAACAGCTCCTACTCTTTACTCATTTGCTGCTTATCCGCAAGTGTACAACAATTGACTAAAACTGTTTTTTTTTAAATTAGGCCTATATATATTCTACCTATTTATAGCAGTTGACTGTAAATGATTTGTTCAAAACACTACCACCATAATAATGAATATATTTTTCAAATCAACCCATCCTTTGCCGATTTGACCGCTATTGACAAATTTAATTTTTTAATGAGTGATGGCAACCACTATAGGGTAGCTAAATTTGCTTACCAAATCCTCTCCTTACTTACAGTCTTTTGTGTTTAAGTTATATCTTGAGAAATTTTTGTATATTTTGTTTTAAAAATTTTATAATTGTGTATTATGCGTGTTTTTTAATATGTCCTGTTTTTCACTCATAAGCCAGAATTGGCTGGTCTCAGTTTTATTTGAGAGTGTGAAATAAATAAATACAGCTAAATTTGCTTACCAAATCCTCTCCTTACGTCAGTCTTTTGTGTAGTTATATCTTGAGAAATGTTTGTATATTTTGTTTTAAAAAATTTTATAATTTTGCATGTTTTTTAATATGTCCTGTTTTTCACTCATAAGGCAGAATTGGCTGGTCTCAGTTTTATTTGAGAGTGTGAAATAAATAAATAAAGAACAAACTAACTATAATTGAATTTTAATATTTTTTAGACATAAACGAGTGTGATGATTCCATTTGTCAAGACCATGCTGATTGCAGCAACACCGAGGGATCTTACACATGCACATGCTCAGTAGGATTCCGAGCATTTGGTTCACAGTGTACTGATATTAATGAGTGTGCAGAACATATTGATAATTGTGATGTCAATGCTGTTTGCAATAACACAGCTGGGAGTTTCATGTGTACCTGCATCACTGGTTATCAAGGAAATGGACAATCTTGCATAGGTGATTATTTATTTATTTACTTATTTAAATGGTGGTTGTTTATGGTACATTGATAATTTTAATATGGATTTTTAAAAATGAAAATTATTAATACTATATAGTTATATAGTGCAAACATGCAGAAGCTTCAATCGACTTCTTATATAATACTCAATATTTTTACAAACCTTGTGCTTTTGAGGACAATGTCAAGTTGTAATATAACAAATATTTTAAAAGAAAATATGCAAATAAAATAAGTAATAAATATTTTTCCAACGACAATAGACACCAATGAATGTTCCATGGATTTAAATGACTGTGATGAAAATGCATCGTGCAACAATACAGAAGGTTCTTTTACGTGTTACTGTAACCATGGATACAGCAACACTGCTGGAGGAACTGGTAGAGTTGGAGACTGTAACAGTATGTTTCATCTTTGTTTCGTTTTTTTTTTTCACTCCTCACTTTAGAACAATTGTATTATGTTTAATGTTATGTTATTCATTATTCTTTATTTCATACTTTACATCCATAGTTAAACATCGTCGACTTAACTAATAATAATATAAATACAAGGGGAAAATAAACCCCACATGATCCTTAGAAATTATGATTGTATTGTGTTCAAATATCAATTTATTATGTGCCATACTATTTCTGACTAAAAATATCTGTGCTGTACACTGAATGTGAATGGGTATTGTTGCTTCTAGAATCAGTTATACTAGAATAACCAGATGCCACACACTTTGTTTGCCAACAGTTGGTCAACCAGGCGTTTGTTTGAGTGTGTTTATGACACAATGCCTGTGACAGTCTGTTGACTGTCGGTAGCAGTAGAATTGATTGTCGCATGGAATCGCATTTGACTGCTTGCACCAATGTTCTGTGGGCAACATGGGTTTTTTCAGGATTAATGTTACTGAATTGGTTGGGGTTTGAAAAACAATCACCTTACCTATTCCACAGTTTGAAAATTATATATTTTCTTTATTGTTTAAATTGTTTAGACATCGACGAATGCAGCACTGATATAGATAACTGTGGTGAGAATGCTATATGCAATGATACAATGGGATCCTTTGAGTGCAGCTGTAGCAATGGTTACAGTGGCACCGGTGTAGTTTGTACAGGTAAAGTCTGTGTAGATAAAAAAGTTTGGAAAATTTAATCTTCTTTATTGTTAAATTTGGTTTAGATACAGATGAGTATGATTAATTATGGTAATTTTTACAAACTGCCTTTAACTCATTATATTAACTCATATTAATATAGAGTTGCATTTTAAAAATCAATATTAAAAATTGCTATTTAATATTCTAACTGTAAGTATTATTAAACAGCCGACATTTTTAAGGTTTTTAGGTAGTTTTAACCACAAAAAGCCTAGATAATAATTATTATTATTAAAATTTTTAACATAAATTTAAATATGTATCTAATATAAGAATTAAGTGTATTTTTGTATTGTTTCACATATAGTTTTACACCATGTAAAAAAGACGAAGAGCAAAAGTTTGAATGCTTTTACAAAGAGACATAATTAATACGTCATACATATACCGGTTTTAGGTCAGCAATTGTATGGGGACTATCTTTATAAAGTATATGTAATACAGATCTCCCTCCAACTAAAGACCACTTTTGGGACTGGGGGTTTGCATGGTCTTTAGCAGTTTTTGTCTCTAATTAGAATAATAAAAATAAAAGACATTTGTTGATTTGGGACCACTGCAAAGTGGTCTTTAATTTTAATTGCAGGTGGTGTTTATTTGAAAGGTATTTATATTCTTGAAATATTTTATTTTGAGACAATAATTAATATGAATTATTATCCGATGTCATCACGACAGATATAAATGAATGCGAAGTTGACAATCCGTGCACCGAAGGAAACACTATGTGTGTAAATAGTGAAGGAAGCTATGACTGCATCTGTGTGCTGGGATACACTGTTTTGGAAGGGGTTTGTACAGGTAATAATGTTTAGTTTTTTCTGCAAAGTTTATAATTTTCATCTGCTGTGGCGTTTAAATTATAGTGTCAGTGTTTATGATGTTTTGTATTTTTCGTATTAATAATAATAATGATGAAGACGATTATTATGATCATAATGATGATAATGACAGTAATGACAACAATATTTATGATGGTATCAATAGCAGGAATGATAATGATAGCAAATAACTTTGAATGGAATGGATCATTCATAAATTATTATTATTGTTATTACTATTATAATAATTACTATTATTGTTTTTATTATTATCTTCTTCATTATCACTATTATGACTATTATTGATGTTTACAGTTGCTGTGTCGCTAGATTTGACTGTGACGTTCACATACATTGGTGGTCATGCAGTAAACAGGAACAGCAATTTGAATGACAATCAGAGAAATAATCTTCTTTCAGATGTAAAAATATTTTTCATTAAATTTACAGTAATTTAGTCATTAGTATGTTATTTTTATTTCAAAGTCTATTCAAGGACACTTAATATGTAGCAATTAGTATGGCTTTATAATCATGTATTTCTTATAACATTACTCCACGTTGTAGTTTATCGAAACTTTGTTTTTATTATCTAATTCTCAATCAACAGAAAATATTTTTTAAAATATAATTATAAAGATGTTCAAAGAACTGATAATTGATGTTTTCAGATGACCAACCTACTTCAAAACACCAGTTTGTCTGAAGATTTAGTTGAAGTATTCATTGTACTTTCAAGTGGTACCGTTGATACACTATCGATCGACTTCCGAGTGGACCTTGTAGCAGGATCAACAATTGACAATGATCAACTACTCGATATCTTTGAAGCAGCTACTAAAGATGACAATAGGGTTCCACCAAATAATGTCATATACGTTCCACCTGGTAGGCCTCCTCTAAATATAATTTGTTATTATGTAATATTTTTGTGGCCAAATAATATTTTTCACCGATGGCTAAAGTGTGATAAGACTGCTATTGAAAAATGTGTTTATTTAAGTCGGCCACAAAATATTATTCAGTATTATATATACACAGTATAGCCCATTATATAATTTGTTAAAATACTTATATTAAAAAGTATCTTATATTACTCACAAAAGTTACTATATAGATTCATGTAATTATTGTAAAGTCACCAATAAAAGAACAAAACAAGCAAGCTAAGCCACCAAAAAAGATATCACATTAGGTATTCATTTTTCAACTAATCAAAAATGAAATCCAGAAATATTATTAATACTATAAACTTGTAATCTGATATATATATTTGAGTTGATATTTATTTAATCTGATCCAAAAAAATATACAATAGTAACAAGTAGAGAAATTTGCCACCCCCCCCCCCTTTACCATTGTTATTTATTAAATTAATTGTTTGTTATGTAAACAAATATTAACACACACAGAGGAGCCAGATTTGACAACTGTGACCGCTTCTGACATGACAACAATCAAAACCACAATATCAGGTAAAATACTTTAAAATGAACCTTCACTAATAAAAGATAATATTTATTAGGAAAATGCTTTTTTAACAACAGTACATCAATGGTGCATCCACAGTAAACTATAACAATCAAAATCAATAAAACCAACAAAATCAAACCACACAAAAAAAGATGGTATGATTAGGGGAACTGGAAATAATCTCCCTGTTCAGACTTAATACAAGTAGTAGAACACATTTTGTAAATACAGGGTAGCCATTCTCTGAACAGGAATTAACTTAACCAAGGGGGTATATACCTCCTTGACTTACTAAAGGAAATATAAATTAAAAAGGCAAATTAACACTAGAAAATACTTAATTAAATAATTCCTTACAGATGTACCATTTATGTTATAGTCTATACAGATGGATTAATCCATCATATTTTGTTTTCATTACTATTATATTATATCGAACTTCCGCCATATTTTATATTATTACCACTTATAATGCACTCATTATTTCCCCCCCCCCCCATTATGTCAATAGGAATTTTGGATTTCTGCCACATCAATTAGACTTTATTCTATGGATGGACTCTGTTTTCATCATTTTTATATTCTTATCATTCTGACCTGAGTTACTTTTACTGCTTATTTTTATTTACATTCTCAATGCGCTTATATTCACAAGGATTTATATCACTACTTGTTACTTGATTATCTTCATATTTATTAATGATTTATCCATAAACCATTATGCTGTTACGGTGCTTAACACCTTTTTACCCATCTCAATTGTTACATCTAGACCTTTAGCTTCTATTGCCAACTAGAGATATTTACTTCCTTATTTCTGTATCCAGTCAGATTTATTGTTTATCATATATTTTTATCTTTTATCCAATCATATCATAATGTGATTTCCATGTGTATTGCTGTATCTTGTGTAAAACTTCACTCACCTGAGCCCCATTGACTGGGGCGAAAGCTTGTGAATTAAAATTCATCGTTAGTCAAAAAAGTGCTAGCTTCTCATTTGTTTCATTAGTATACACTGACTAATACGGCTATACCACTTTTTTTTAATTGAAATGAACTACACCTAAATAGTTTATCTACATAAATAAACCACATAAATCATTATAATGAGCTGCATATATGCAATAAATAAAACATTATGTAGTACTAACTTACTTTATGATACAACTAATTAATCATATAAAATGCCTCAATTATTACTGTATATTGAATCCATTATTTTACAGAGGATTTAACAACTGTACCCACTATGGACAAGACAACAGTCACAACCACACCATCAGGTGAGGCTTGTTTAACTAGTGGAAAATTTGTATTATGAAAAACATGTTGTTTATGATATAATTATGCCATCAGGAAACTTGTATTTAAGAACAAAATGATGCTTATGATATAAATATTCCACCAGGACGTGTACTACTTTTTTTTAAAATGTATATTGAATCCATTTTACAGAGGACTTGACAAGTGTGGCTGCTACAGACAAGACAACAGTTCAAACCACAATATCAGAAAACTTATTACAAGTGCCTCAATTAATAGTGTATATTGAATTCATTTTGCAGAGGTTTTAGTGAAAAACTTGTATTATGAATAAAATGTTGTTTAAGAGTGATGTAATTATTACAAGTGCCTTTATATCATAGTGTATATTGAATCTATTTTGCAGAAGTTTTGACAACTGTGTGTTATAAAAATATTAAAATTGTCTCTATTATTATTGTATATTAAATCCATTATTTTACAGATGATTTGACAACTGTGCCCACTACAGACAAGACAAAAGTCAAAACCACACCATCAGGTAATTTTTAAAAATGAGTCAATTTTAACTAATTAACTCTAGTGAAAAACTTGTATTATGAATAAAATGTTGTTTATGAATGATATATTACAAGTGCCTCTATTATTAGTGTATATTGAATCCATTTTGCAGAAGCTTTAACAACTGTGGGCGCTATGTACATGACAACAGTCAAAACCACACCATCAGGTAATGCTTAATATTGAGTCTAGTTTAACTAATTAACTATAGTAGAAAACTTGTATTATGAATAAAATGTTGTTTACGATTAAAGTATTACAATTGCCTCTATTGTTATTGTATATATTAAATCCATTATTTTACAGATGATTTTACAACTGTGGCCGCTACAAACAAGACAACAGTTCAAACCACAATATCAGGTAATGCTTAAAAATGTGTCTAGTTTAAACTAATTAACTCTAGTGAAAAACTTGTATTATGAATAAAATGTTGTTTAAGAGTGATGTAATTATTACAAGTGCCTTTATATCATAGTGTATATTGAATCTATTTTGCAGAAGTTTTGACAACTGTGTGTTATAAAAATATTAAAATTGTCTCTATTATTATTGTATATTAAATCCATTATTTTACAGATGATTTGACAACTGTGCCCACTACAGACAAGACAAAAGTCAAAACCACACCATCAGGTAATTTTTAAAAATGAGTCAATTTTAACTAATTAACTCTAGTGAAAAACTTGTATTATGAATAACATGTTGTTTATGATATAATTATTGCAAGTGCCTCTATTATTATTGTATATTGAATCTATTATTTTACAGATGATTTGACAACTGTGGCCGCTACGGACAAGACAACAGTCAAAACCTCATCAGGTAATGCTTAAAAATGAGTCAAGTTTAAATAATTAAATATAGTATAAAACAAGTATTATGAATAACATGTTGTTTATGAATGATTTAATTATTACAAGTGCCTCTATTAATAGTGTATATTAAATCCATTTTACAGCAAACTTGACAACTGTTTCCAATACGGAGAAGACAACTGTTGAAACCACATCATCAGGTAAAGTTTAAAAACGATTCTAGTTTAACTGACTATAGTAGAAAACTTGTATTATGAATAACACGTTGTTTAAAATAAAAATATTAAAATTGCCTCTATTATTATTTTATATTAAATCCATTATTCTACAGATAATTTGACAACTATGGCGGCTACAAATAAGACAACAGTTCAAACCACAATATCAGGTAATGCTTAAAAATGAGTCTAGTTTATTACTAATTAACTATAGTAGAAAACTTGTATATGAATAACATGTTGTTTATGATATAATTATTGCAAGTGCCTCTATTATTATTGTATATTGAATCTATTATGTTACAGATGATTTGACAACTGTGGCTGCTACGGACAAGACAACAGTCAAAACCACACCATCAGGTAATGCTTAAAAATGAGTCAAGTTTAAATAATTAAATATAGTAGAAAACAATTATTATGAATAACATGTTGTTTATGAATGATTTAATTATTACAAGTGCCTCTATTAATAGTGTATATTAAATCCATTTTACAGCCAACTTGACAACCGTTTCCAATACGGAGAAGACAACTGTTGAAACCACATCATCAGGTAGAGTTTAAAAATTATTCTAGTTTAACTGACTATAGGAGAAAACTTGTATTATGAATAACACGTTGTTTACAATAAAAATATTAAAATTGCCTCTATTATTATTGTATATTGAATCTATTATTTTACAGATGATTTGACAACTGTGGCCACTACAAACAAGACAACAGTTCAAACCACAATATCAGGTAATGCTTAAAAATATGTCTAGTTTAACTAATTATCTCTAGTGAAAAATTTGTATTATGAATAAAATGTTGTTTAAGAGTGATGTAATTATTACAAGTGCCTTTATATCATAGTGTATATTGAATCCATTTTGCAGAAGTTTTGACAACTGTGTGTTATAAAAGTATTACAATTGCCTCTATTATTATTGTATATTAAATCCATTATCTTACAGATGTTTTGACAACTGTGGCCGCTACAAACAAGACAACAGTTCAAACCACAATATCAGGTAATGCTTAAAAATGTGTCTAGTTTAACTAATTAACTCTAGTGAAAAACTTGTATTATGAATAAAATGTTGTTTAAGAGTGATGTAATTATTACAAGTACCTTTATATCATAGTGTATATTGAATCCATTTTGCAGAAGTTTTGACAACTGTGTGTTATAAAAGTATTGCAAGTGCCTCTATTATTATTGTATATTAAATTCATTAACTTACAGATGATTTGACAACTGTACCCGCTATAGACAAGACAACAGTCACAACCACACCATCAGGTAATGCTTAAAAATGAGTCAAGTTTAACTAATTACTACAGTATAGTAGAAAACTTGTATTTTGAATAAAATGTTGTTTACGATAAAAGTATTACAATTGCCTCTATTATTGTATATTAAATCCATTATTTTACAGATGATTTGACAACTTTTCCCACTACAGACAAGACAACAGTTCAAACCACAACATCAGGTAATGCTTAAAAATGAGTCTAGATTAACTAATTAACTATAGTAGAAAACTTGTATTATGAATAACATGTTGTTTATGATATAATTATTACAAGTGCCTCTATTATTGTATATTAAATCTATTATTTTACAGATGATTTGACAACTGTGGCTGCTACGGACAAGACAACAGTCACAACCACACCATCAGGTAATGCTTAAAAATGAGTCTAGTTTATTACTAATTAACTATAGTAGAAAACTTGTATATGAATGACATGTTGTTTATGATATAATTATTGCAAGTGCCTCTATTATTATTGTATATTGAATCTATTATTTTACAGATGATTTGACAACTGTGGCTGCTACGGACAAGACAACAGTCAAAACCACACCATCAGGTAATGCTTAAAAAATGAGTCAAGTTTAAATAATTAAATATAGTAGAAAACAATTATTATGAATAACATGTTGTTTATGAATGATTTAATTATTACAAGTGCCTCTATTAATAGTGTATATTAAATCCATTTTACAGCCAACTTGACAACCGTTTCCAATACGGAGAAGACAACTGTTGAAACCACATCATCAGGTAAAGTTTAAAAATGATTCTAGTTTAACTGACTATAGTAGAAAACTTGTATTATGAATAACACGTTGTTTACAATAAAAATATTAAAATTGCCTCTATTATTATTGTATATTAAATCCATTATTTTACAGATAATTTGGTAACTATGGCGGCTACAAAAGAGACAACAGTTCAAACCACAATATCAGGTAATGCTTAAAAATGAGTCTAGTTTA